GGCAGCAGAGTGAGACCTTGTCTCAAAAAATACATTTTTTTAAAAAAAGCCACTTTACTGTCATTTGATTAGCATTTAGGGAAGGATTAAGTCAAATGCCAGACCCAATCAAGTGTTCTGTTTTGTTTTTTTTGTTTTTTTTTTTGAGACGGAGTCTTGCTCTGTCGCCCAGGCTGGAGTGCAGTGGCCGGATCTCAGCTCACTGCAAGCTCCGCCTCCCGGGTTCCCGCCATTCTCCTGCCTTAGCCTCCCGAGTAGCTGGGACTACAGGCGCCTGCCACCACGCCCGGCTAATTTTTTTGTATTTTTAGTAGAGATGGGGTTTCACCATGTTAGCCAGGATGGTCGCGATCTCCTGACCTCATGATCCACCCACCTCGGCCTCCCAAAGTGCTGGGATTACAGGCTTGAGCTACCGCGCCTGGCCAAGTGTTTTGTTTTTTGAGACAGGGTCTTGCTCTGTCATCCAGGCTGGAGTGCAGTGGCACAATCCATGGCTTACCGCACCCTCGACCTCTCAGGCTCAAGAAGTCCTCCCATCTCAGCCTCCCAAGAAGCTGGGAAGACAGGTGTCAGCCACCAAGCCTGGCTATTTTTTTAAAATTTTTAAATATTTATATTTATATATTATTATTATTATTTATTTATTTGAGACGGAGTTTCACTCTTGTAGCCCAGGCTGGAGTGCAATGGCACAATCTCAGCTCACTGCAACCTCTGCCTCCCAGGTTCAAGCGATTCTCCTGCCTCGGCCTCCCAAGTAGCTGGGATTACAGGCATGCGCCACCATGCCCAGCTAATTTTGCATTTTTAGTAGAGACGGGAGTTTCTCCATGTTGGTCAGGCTGGTCTTGAACTCCTGACCTCAGGTGATTCACCCACCTCGGCCTCCCAAAGGGCTGGGATTATAGGAGTGAGCCACTGCACCCGGCCTTTATTTTTTTAACTATAGAAGACAGGGTCTCACTATATTGCCCAGGCTGGTCTCAAAGTCCTTGGTTCAAGTGATCCTCCTGCCTCAGCCTCTCAACGAGCTGAAATTACAGGAGTGAGCCAACATGCCCAGCCCCCCAATTTTTTTATAAAGACAGTATCTCACTACATTCCCCAGGCTAGATCATTCAGTTTAACTGAGTATAACCTTCATTTGCTAACCTTGGGCAAACTGGTTTCATTCTTGATAATCTTCTATAAACTGTTACAAGAGATCTTTCCAAAAAAGGTAACTCTGGTCATAACACACTTCTTAAAAACACTTTAAAGGCGCAAATGCCTTCAAACTCGAGTCCAAAGTACTTAGCTTCCAAGACTTTTCCTGATTCCACTCCTCTCTCCAGCCTCACCATTGTCATACCTAACCCCCACCACACTCCATTCACTCCAGGCAGACACAATCCCTTGCTGGACTCCACATGTGACTCCACATCACAGCACCATGCTCTTGCCTATGCCGTCTCCCTTTTCCACTACAAGCTCTCATCCACGTAGCTCACCTTTAAGATTGAGCTCACACCTGTAATCCCAGCACTTTGGGAGGTCGGAGCAGGTGGATCACTTGAGGTCAGGAGTTCGAGACCAGCCTGGCCAACATGGTGAAACCCCCGTCTCTACTGAAAATACAAAAATTAGCCGGGAGTGGTGGCGGGCGCCTGTAGTCCCATGTACTCAGGAGGCTGAGGCAGGAGAATCGGTTGAACCTGGGAGGTGGAGGTTGCAGTGAGAGAGATCTTACCACTACACTCCAACCAGGGCGACAGAGTGAGACTCTGATAAATAAACTCATGTATAATAAACTAAATAGAGGCCACAGACGGTGTCAAGAAGGCGGACAGGTATGAATGGCCTTGGGCGAGGGGATATTCCACTGTCGCCTCTGACTACAGGTGGTCCTGTGGCGGAGGCGCCGCGGGCCCTGGGAGTTGTAGTTCACCAGGTGGACCGAGTGGGGGCGAGGCTGCGCTGAGCATCCTGGGAATTGTAGTGCTCCCTACACGGTGCCCTCTGCGCAGGCGCAAAACGAGAGCCACTTCCGGAACAAGCGTCGCGTTTCTCAGGAGAAACTCCAGGTGAGAATTCCCAGAGTGACAATGGCTACCTATAGTCTGGCGAACGAGAGACTACGCGCCCTGGAAGACATTGAACGGGAAATCGGCGCCATCCTTCAGAATGCAGGTTCGGGATGCGACAACCCGGACGGCGGGGAGCGAAAGCGTGGCCGGGCTGCACGCACAGGCTGACCCGGCACTTGGAGCGGGGTTGGGGAGGAACTCCTACGTGCGTGCGCAGCCAAAGGGCGGGATTGAGAGGGGCTGGCCCTAGGGCGGGGCTACACTGGCAGTCTCCGTGTGTCCCCTCCCTCTCTCCGCCCTGGCAGGTACTGTCATCCTAGAACTGTCCAAGGAAAAAACCAACGAGCGGCTTCTAGACCGGCAGGCGGCGGCCTTCACCGCTTCAGTGCTACACGTGGAGGCGGAGCTGTCGGCTCAGATCCGCTACCTCACCCAGGTCGGTGTGTCTGGAGGGTGCTGCGAGCGGACCCCAGCTCTGGGTCAAAGCCTCAGCCTTGGGTGATCCCGGGTGGAGCATTAACTGGGCAGGCCCAGACCTCCCCAGCCGGCCGTCCAGAGCCGGTTTCTTCCTCTAAAAGGAAAGAATGGGCCGGGCGCAGTGGCTTGACAGAGTTCGAGACCAGCCTGGCCTACACGGTGAAACCTGGTCTCTAACAAAAATATAAAAATTAGGCTGTGTGCGGTGGCTCACTCCTGTAATCCCAGCACCTTGGGAGGCCGAGACGGGTGGATCATCTGAGGTCAGGAATTCGAGACCAGCCTGGCCAACATGGTGAAACTCCATCTCTACTAAATACACAAAAATTAGCTGGGCGTGGTAGTGAGCACCTGTAATCCCAGCTACTAGGGAGGCTGAGGCAGGAAAATCGCTTGAACCTAGGAGGTGTACTTAGCCGAGATCATGCCATTGCACTCCAGCTTGGGCAACAGAGCAAAAACTCTGTCTCAAAAAATAAAAATAATAAATAATAAAATGAAAGAATTAAAGGTGGCCCTGCGTACCTCACTGGGTAACATCACATGTGCCTGGGAGAAGATGTGTAAATTATGCTAGAACTACAGAACTTTGTCACTGGAAACTTGGCGTGACTTCAAGGCCACGGGGTCCCAGATCCTTATATCCTGAGAAGAGGGGGAGGATTGAGAAGATTCTGAACTTGTCACAGGGACCGCTACCATTACTAATTTTTACGGTGTGCCAGATACTCTGCATTATTTTATCTAATCCTCAACAACTCTAGGAAGTAGTTATTGTCAATCCCATTTTACAGACAAGATTAACATAAGTTAAATGATTTATTTATCCAGCTACCAGGTGGCCTAACAAATTCAAACTCAGGTAAGAAATGAGACAAGAGACCTGATGCCTGCTTGGAGTAAGGGTAAAGGAGACGGTGCTCCATTGATAGTCTGTCTTGTAGGTGGCCACAGGGCAGCCCCATGAGGGCTCCAGCTACTCTTCGAGGAAGGACTGCCAGATGGCTCTGAAGCGAGTGGACTATGCCCGCCTCAAGCTCAGTGATGCGGCTCGAACCTGCGAGCAGATGCTGGAGAACTAGGCCAGGGAGGTGGACCCAGAGCTCCGAGGGAGACCATCACCTGCGCCATGGGACAGAACCTGAGAACGTGTAGGGTGGGGAGTATGGGCACCAACATGCCCTGCTCGTCAAAGTACCCTAAGACAAAGGGGCAAATGGTGGGCACAGAAAAACTGAAGCCCAAGCCTGCGCACAGCTATGCCCTGGCCTCTCCAACAGGGTGCTCCTGTTCTGCTCTCCACAAACACCCTGACAGGCTCAGAGAGGAGATGGAAACTCCCATACCCAACCCACTTCCTCTAACACTTCATGCTGCTGCCCCAGGCTTCCCGCAGACTTGGCCTAACGAAGACACATTCTTCTTCATTCAGAGAGACAAAACAAGAACTAGAGTCTCAATAATAATAAAAGCAATAACAATAAAAACACGATCAGACTCTCACTGGGGTGGGCAAGAGACTGAGGAAGTGAAACCAGCCCATGTGGTGTCCCAGCATAGCGCCTGCTAAGGAGGGAGGGTGGGAAAGCCCAGGCCTTCGTTGCGGGGACAGGAGGACGCAGGAGAGGGCTGAGGTGGGGAGGAACAACTGGTGTACTGGGGGAGATTTGGGACGAGGGGGAACCATGAGCAGAACAAGCTGAAGCCAGGAATCATGGTAAGGGTGCAAGGGCCTGAGGCCGGTTGTTTCCATAAAGAAGACTCAATCATTACAAAAATAATTTTTAGTAGTTACAAAAACATACATAGGGCCAGGTACAGTGGCTCACAGCTTTAATCCCAGCACTTTAGGGTGCTGAGGAGGGCGGATCACTAGATCAGGAGTTCGAGACCAGTCTGGCCAACATGGTGAAACCCTGTCTCTACTAAAAATACAAGAATTAGCCGGGTGTGGTGGTGAGTGGCTGTAATCCCAGCTACTCGAGGCTGAGGCAGGAGAATCGCTTGAACCCGCAAGGCGGAGGTTGCAGTGAGCCAAGATCACACTATTCCACTCTAGCCTGGGCAACAGAGTAAAACTCAGTCTCAAAAAACAAAAGAGTCCATCATTATAAAAATAATTTTTAGTAGTTAAAAAACACACATAGGGCCAGGCACGGTGGCTCACACCTGTAATCTCAGCATTTCGGAAGGCCAAGGCAGGCGGATCACTTGCAGTCAGGAGTTTGAGACCAGCCTGGCCAACATGGTGAAACCCTATCTCTACTGAAAATACAAAAATTAGCCAGGTGTGGTGGCACATGCCTGTAATCCCACTCGGGAGGCTGAGGCAGGAGAATCACTTGAACCTGGGAGGTGGAGGTTGCAGTGAGCCGAGATCGTGCCACTGCACTCCAGCCTGGATGACAGAGCGAGACTCCGTCTCAAAGCAAAACAAGACAAAAAATACACATAGAATTTGTCCAAGTTATTATTACCCTGTATGAAAAGCACATTTTATAGTATAACCATTTTTAAATGAGGGGCCTAAGAGAGGGCAGTGGCTGGTTAGTCCTATGTTAGATATTAACAAATACGTGTAGGCTGAATATGGTAGGTATCGCTTCTAATCCACACACTTTCGGAGGCCAAGGTGGGAGGATCACTTGACTCAGGAGTTCCATAACAGCCTGGGCAACGTACAGCCCGTACCTGAAAAACGAAAAACAAAAACAAGTATACAGTGCCTACCATGTTGTCGGGTTGATCTCCTTTATTACACCTTTTGTAAAAATAAACCAGTTTACACTCACAAGGTTCCATTCTTGGCTCAGGTATTAGAGTCAGACGCCACAGGTATATAATGAAGCTGCAAATCTGGAAAGGATGAAGAAATTGAGAGATGAGCTCTGAGATCAAGGAGAGTGATGGGGGATGAGGCTTGAACTAGGGAATCAGATCAAGACATTAACCCTACGACCTGGCCCACAGTAGGTGCTCAGTGAAAATGTGTTAATTGAATGACTTGCCCTCACCTCCCTCCGCAGCTTCATCTCCCACTAGCTTGCTCTAGCTATCTTCTCCGTGATGTTGCTGCAAGCACTAGTCCTTGTGCCCATGGTGGCTTCCTTCCCTCTCCACTCTCTACAGTCCCTGGCTGACTGTCCTCAGAGGGCCCAGAGTCAACCTTGTGCAGACAACCTTGATACTTGTGTGCAGAGGCTAGGTTTCCAGCCACCTGAGAGCCACTGGGTCAGGATTGCTGTCAGGAAGGCTCTGGGTCCCTGGGGGAAGGGTTCAGAGGTCCAGTTTACCTGGAGAGGACTGCGGTGACTGCCCCCTCCTCCTCTTGCACAGCACATAGGAAAGGAGTGCGGTGAGGATGAAGACGATGGCCAGGAGGGACAGGACCGGCACTGTGGCTGATGTCCCGGCTGTGGGACCAGCATTTTTTTTCAGCTGCTTCTGGTTCTCCCCAGCCTCAAGCCCAACTCCCAGACTGTGGCCCGCAGTGGGAATGGTGGTTTCACTGGGACGAGTGAGCTCTTTGTCCAAGGACAGTGATCCTGCTGGGAGGGTGGGGCGCTGGGTTGACTGCAAGATGGACAGGAGCATCTGGGTAGGGGTGCGGATGTCTGAAGATGCCCCCTCTGAGGCCTGAGAAATGGGGGTGCTGGTAGGAGGTAAATGCTCCTGGTGGGCCACACTCCCCAAGTAAGCATGTCCACATTCTGGAAAGGAAAGAAATGAGGAATCAGGACTATCAGGAGAAAAGGTGAAAAAGCAGATAGACGTGTAGGGGAGAAAAAGTAATATCTTTTCCTCACCCATCCCAAGGGTCAAGGCTGATACCCCTATAAATAAAAAACATTAACAAGAGAAAAGCCTAACATTTATTTAATCACAGTTTTACATGACATAGGAAACTTCAGAAACGAAGACCCAAAGACCCAAGGAAAAGTGTATTTTTATGCTTAGGCTTGCTGTGAAGAATAGACAGTTGTATAGAAGTATGATTGGATTGGCTGGGCATGGTGGCTCACGCCTGGAATCCCAGCACTTTGAGAGGTGGAGGCGGGCAGATCACCTGAGGTCGGGAGTTCGAGACCAGCCTGACCAACATGAAGAAACCCAGTCTCTACTAAAAATACAAAATTAGCCAGGCGTGGTGGCACATGCCTGTAATCCCAGCTACATGGGAGGCTGAGGCAGGAGAATCGCTTGAACCCGGGAGGCAGAGGTTGCAGTGAGCCGAGATCATACCATTGCACTCCAGCCTGGGCAACAAGAGCAAAACTCCATCTCAAAAAAAAAAAAAAAAGTATGATTGGACAAAAAGGGTATGATCTAATGGTAATAAATGGGGGACGGGGGGGACCAGAAAGGCCTGTCCAGATTCTTCTTGGCCTCCAAGTATAGGGCAGGACCCCTCTGAAACGAGGCCTATGACCTACTTCCAGATGAAGTTAGAGAATTCCTTTATGGCTAGCTGTCACAGAAAAACGGAAACAGCAGACTGAGCTACTTACTTCTGCTGTTTTCTTAATGACCAAAGTGCCATGTTTTGGAGTGTCGTGTTCTGAGCTCCAACAGAGGGAAGAGCAAGTCAGGGAGGATATCAAGCTAAAGGCCAGAAGAGGAAGGCAGTGACAGACGGAAAAGATAGGGGACAAGGAAGTGAGCAAACCACGAGACAAGTGGGTGTCATGAACTGGGAAATCAGAAGACCAGGGCTGGAATCCAGGCTCTGCTGTAAAGTAGCTGTGTAACCTCAAGTAGCTGTGTAACCTCGCCCCTTGTCCCTAACCTCTCCGGAAGTGATTTCTTCCAGCTGTAACATGAGGATAATTGTAGTACCAAGGGCCAGGGTAACTGGGAAGATGAAAGGAAATCATGTAGGTCTAGGCAGACTTAAAGGCAGTATGGATGACACAGATCGTACAAAACTTTAGCTAGGACATGGAAGAACCTTTTGTATTTTAAAGGTTGTATATTTAAGAGAAAAATATAACCAGTGCATCAAACTTGTGACTTCACAGATGTTATTGCTTAGGATAATTTACTATTTAAGTTTTCTTTCTTTTTTTTTTTTTTTTTTGTTGCCCAGGCTGGAGTGCAATGGCGTGATCTTGGCTCACTGCACTCCGCCCCCAGGTTCAAGCGATTCTCCTGCCTCAGCCTCCCAAGTAGCTGGGATTACAGGCACATGCCACCATGCCTGGCTAATTTTGTATTTTTAGGAGAGATGGGGTTTCACCATGTTGGTCAGGCTGGTCTCAAACTCCTGACCTCAGGTGATCCGCCTGCCTCAGCCTCCCAAAGTGCTGGGATTACAGGCATGAGCCACAGCGCCCGACCTCTCCAGCCTCGCCAGTTGAGATTTGGAGGAAGATCTGGGGGCCTCTACTTAAGTTTTCAAAACTAGTTTGTGCACACTTAAAAGTAATTCATTTCATTGTATGTAAATTTGAACTCGAAAGAGAAGAAAGCATTAAAATATTGAACTCTACTTAATATACATGCTGAAATGTCTTGGGATGAAGTACAACGATGTCCGCAACCTGCCTTGAAATGCACCAAGAGGCTGGGCACGGTGGCTCACGCCTGTAATCCTAGCACTCTGGGAGGCTGAGGCAGGTGGATCACCTGAGGTCAGGAGTTTGAGACCAGCCTGACCAACATGGAGAAACCTCGTCTCTACTAAAAAAATACAAAAATTAGCCGGGCACGGTGGCGGGCGCCTGTAATCCCAGCTACTTGGGAGGCTGAGGCAGGAGAATTGCTTGAACCTAGTAGGCGGAGGCTGCAGGGAGCTGAGCACACCATTGCACTCCAGCCTGGGTGACAGAGTAAGACTCCATTAAAAAAAAAAAAAAAATGCATCGAGAAATAAGGTGATGGATGATGGATAGAAGGATGAATAGATTATACTTAATAAAGCAAATATCGTGTAAGTGCTGTAAAATTGATAGTGTAAAATATATGTTTATGTAAATATGTAAAATATACATAAATAAAATTGTTGAATCTAGGTGGAGGCATTGGATATTCAGTGTGCCATTCTTTCAACTTTTGTATATGTGTAAATTTTCATAATAAAATATTGGAAAAGAAAAATAGGCCAGGTGTGGTGGCTCATGCCTGTAATCCTAGCACTTTTGGAGGCCGAGGCGGGCGGATCACAAGGCCAGGAGTTCAAGACCAGCCTGGCCAACACGGTGAAACCCCGTCTCTACTAAAAATACAAAAATTAGCCAGGCTTGGTGGTGCGCACCTGTAATCCCAGCTACTCAGGAGGCTGAGGCAGGAGAATCGCTTGAACCTGGGAGGCAGAGGTTGAAGCAAGCTGAGATTGTGCCACAGCACTCCAGCCTGGACGACAGGGCGAGACTCCATCTCAAAAAAAAATAAAATAAAATAGTACTTTGATTTCAAGAAAAATATTAATAAGTAGACAATAGCACACGTGGTAGAATGAATTGGCAAAAATCATGAAGGTGATGGTGAATGATCAACCCGCTGGCAAACCGGGACTGAGTCTAAGTACTTTGGACAGGATCAGAAGAAGGTTCTGGGAATGTGCGGCCCCAGGGGAAAAGCCTCAGGTAAAGAAGACGGTCAGGTGGAAGCTGCTAAGCTTTGGAGGCAGAGCCTGAAGAGCAGTGGGGAAGTCTCACCTTTGAGATCAAGACAGCTCATCAATTCCCGAACCCATGGGTCCTTACTGCCCCCACACACGCTCCAGGAAGGCAACTGGAACCTGCGGAGGAGAGACCTGGGCTCAGCTGCGGCTCCTCCTTTCCTTCCTCATTCCAAAGGCGTTAAGTCGCTACCAGGAGCCCTTTCTGCTGGGACTGGGAAATTCCCCGGTAGGTGCGACGGAGTCATGAAATTTCGGGCAATGGGAGCAAACAGAACCCGGAGATCGGGCTAGGTGCGCCGGGAAGGAGTTCAGGTTTGACCAGAGAGGGTCCTGGACGCACCTGGCAAGGAGGGGCCGCGCAGGGGCTGCCCTCGCAGAGGCAGGTGAAATTACCTGATGTAGTGTAGACAGTGATGGTAAGCTCTCAGGTGTTTCCGGAGACGATTCATGAACTGAGCCGATGGCGGGGAGTCAGAAGAAATTCTTTTACCACAATGACAGCTTCCAGTGACGGTGCCCTCGTTGCCATTGCCTGAGCAGGACAGAGGTGGTCAGCACCCGTTCCCAGGCCTAGGGTCCCCACTCCGCTGTTCGCTGGCCTCCAATCCACAGCTCCATGACAGCCTCTCCCGTGGACCCAGGGTCAGAGCGCCAGGCTCATCCCACACATTATCACGACCCCCACAACATCCATAATCCCGCCCGGAGCCAGGTGTCCCGGGGCCTCTGTCGCCAACCCCAAGCGGTTGGCTGGCTTTCCTCTTATCCCGGCTGCCTTCATCAACTCAACTCCGTGGGCCTCATGTCCCCTCCCCAAATCACCCCCTTCCCATGACTGGGGAATCTGGGTCCCCTGCCCCGCCCCCGGCTAACCTGGCGGAGGCAGGCACGCCAGCAGGAGCAGCAGCAGGAGCGCGCGGGCCCCGGGCCCCAAGGCCTGTCCCATGTCGGGGCTCCGCGGAGTCTGCGGGGATGGAGCCGCCTCGCTCTGACTCCCAGACAGGCTCCGGCGCATGACGTCCGGCTGGTTTCTCAATGGCTTTCGCCAAGGACCGGAGGAGACGGCGGCCGTCGACGCCAGGTCCCGGCCGGAGAGGAGGCGCGAGCCAGCGGCGCCCCCCGGCTCCGCTGCGCCCCGACCGTGCGCTCAGTACCCGGCCCGCGCCGTGCCAGCCTCTGGCCACAGGGAAAACCCGGGAGGAGGAGCTCCCGCGCCTTGCGCCCCCGCACTGGGCCCGAGCTCCGTGGATGGACGGTCAGGAATCTTGGAAGAAACCGAAAGAAAACTCGGGCGGCGGGCGAGGAGGGGCGGGAGGCGGCGGCCCGAGGAGCCGATTCGGTTCGGTTCAGGGAGCCACCCGCCTCGCCCGCCCCGAGCGCCCGCGGACCTGCGAGGCGGCCGCGCGGCCGGACCGGCCCTCGTGCTCCAAGGCACTTTCACTTCCCCGCTCCCGGCGCCGCGGGACCCAGCCGCGCTATATGAGCCTCCCGGGCGGCCCGGTGGAGGGAGTCGCCGCCAGCCCCGGCCGCGCGCACCTGCGGGGCCACCACCCGCGGACGCACCGAGCCCAGGGGCGTGGCCGCCCGCTCAGCAGGCCAGGGCTCGGGCAGCCCTGACGTCACGACCGCACCCGCGCACCCTCCACCCCGAGGTATTTACCTTCGAAAAGTGGTGGCGGCTGCAGGTACCGGAGGATTGGGGTGGTCGGGAGGGGCTAGGTCTACCGGGGCTGCCCGACACGCCGATCCGAGCCCAGGGAACACCCTCGCTCCCACTCCCATACCCGACGGACACATCCAAAATGCTTCCCTCCCCACCACACCCTTCCCGATAGGATTAGCCCTCTCTCCTCTCTAGCCTTAATTTAAACTCTGCTTTTGAGGGTCTGAACTCTCCAATGTTAAGCCCCAAATACCATCTTATCCCTGAGTAGTCTTCTCCAACCCTGGTCACCCACTTTCAAGTCCAGCCCCCATTTTCCTCCCTGAACTCCCATCCTCAGCCCTGAAAACCCTCTTCTCAGCTCCTAGCATATCCGTGGATCCAATCCTAAGTGACTCTCAAACCTACCCTCTCCCCCAAATTTGTGACCTAGCCCCAAACTACATCATTGCTCTCCTGTCCCTCACCATATATCCCTTCTTTTGCTCAGTCTGGGCTGGGGCCCTGTGCGCCTGAAGACATGGAGTTTGTGTCTGGATACCGGGATGAGTTCCTTGATTTCGCTGCCCTTCTCTTCGGCTGGTTCCGAAAGTTTGTGGCAGAGCGTGGAGCTGTAGGGACCAGCCTTGAGGGCCGCTGGTGGCAGCTGGAGGCCCAGATCAGAAGGCTGCCCCAGGACCCTGCCCTTTGGGTGCTCCATGTCCTGCCCAACCGTAGTGTGGGCATCAGCCTGGGGCAAGGGGCAGAGCCAGGTCCTGGACCAGGCCTGGGGTCTGCCCGGCTCCTGGGAGACGACCCTCCACTCCACCTGCGAGACCTGAGCCCCTACGTCAGCTTTGTCAGCCTAGAGGACGGGGAGGAAGGGGAGGAGGAAGAGGAGGAAGATGAAGAAGAAGAGAAGAGAGAGGAGGGGGGTGCAGGCACAGAGAAGGTGGAACCAGAGGAGGACCGGGAGCTAGCTCCTACCAGCAGGGAGTCCCCCCAGGAAACAAACCCTCCAGGAGAGTCAGAGGAGGCTGACCGGGAGGCAGGAGGTGGCAAGGATGGCTGCCGAGAGGACAGGGTGGAGAATGAAACAAGACCCCAGAAGACGAAGGGACAGAGGAGTGGTAAGAACCCAGGGCTGGCCCTGCCCTACCTCTTGCCCAGCCATCCTCCCTTCAGAAGCCCTCCCCTGCCACTAGTTCTGAGTGCTGGCCTTCAGGCCAATGTGGCCTGAAAAGGTGTTTTTATTGACCCACAGTGGGGTTTTTTTTTTAATTTAATGTTTAAACATTGCAAGAAAAAAAGTATCCAGAAGTCTGGATTTACACATTCCCAAGAAAAATCTCAAGCTCTGACAGGGGGCCTACATTTGTGCATGGCAGCGCGTTCTGGTCCTCTGTAGCAGCTGTCCCCTTTAGAAGGAGTGTGCGCTCTCTACCCAGTGCCCTTTACTCGGTGAGGTTACTTGCCTAGCCCCTGTAGGTATCTGAGTTTGCTACTCCTGACCCTGACCACATGTCTCTCGCTGTCCTCTACCACCTCAACTTTTCCCTCTTTCCCCAGAGGCTGCCCCCCTGCACCTTTCCTGTCTCTTACTTGTGACGGATGAGCATGGCACCATCTTGGGCATTGATCTGCTAGTGGATGGAGCCCAGGGAACTGCCAGCTGGGGCTCAGGGACTGAGAACCTGGCTCCTCGGGCCTATGCTCTCCTCTGTCACAGCATGGCCTGTCCCATGGGCTCTGGGGACCCCCGAAAGCCCCAACAGCTTACTGTGGGAGATGCCCGGCTGCATCGGTATAGAAATCTGGTATCTGAGGCTGGGGAGGGCTGGGGCCCTGGATTCCCAAGCACCCCCTCCAGCCTGATTCCGTCTTCCCCCCTATTTAGAGAGCTGGAGAGCTTGGTCCCAAGGCTAGGTGTGAAGTTAGCCAAGACCCCAATGCGGACATGGGGTCCCCGGCCAGGCTTCACCTTTGCTTCCCTTCGCGCTCGAACCTGCCACGTGTGTCACAGGCACAGCTTTGAAGTGAAGTTGACACCCTGGTGAGCAGCGCAAAAGCTACGGGGAGAGGAAGATCCCAACAGTCAGGCAAATAGAAAGAAAGCAGGGTGGTGGAGGTGCCTAGCAGACAGAAGGAGGGGCAGGGACATGAGAAGATGCAGATGAAACAATACAGGCTATTACAGGCGGTTAGAGGGTGTAAGACAAACAGACCGAGGGACATACAGGCAGCTGCTGGGCAGATGGACAGCAGACAGGGCCCACAGAGGTTAAACTAGGTGCCCACCACCCACTGTGTCCTCAGCCCCCAGTGTAGTGCTGTCTTGTATTGTGGAGAGGCTTGTCTCTGGGCTGACTGGCGGCGGTGCCCAGATGATGTGAGCCACCGATTTTGGTGCCCAAGGCTTGCAGCCTTCATGGATCGGGCAGGAGAACTGGCAGCCCTGCCTTTTACCTACACCGCAGGTACCATAAGGAGGTCAGAATGGTTGGGGGAAACTGGGACCAGGTCTTTGAGACTGGGAATTAGATATCTGGGAACAGGGTCCTGGAGTTGAAGGCTGAGAGTCTGGGGCTAGAGCCTAGATCCCTGGAACAAGGGCAGGGGCTGGGTGTTTGGGGCTGGAGACAGGGTCTGTGAGGCCAAGGACTGAGTATCTAGGTCCCTGAGAGAGTGCAGGGATTGGGGGACAGGGATCCAAACACTTACTTGCTTCCCGACTCCACCACTAACTGGCAGTGTGACCTTAAACAAACCACTTTGCTTCCTGAAGCCTCCGTGTCCTCATCTATAAAAGAGGGATATGAACATACGTAAAGGCCCATGGAATTGTTACAAGGATTATCTTGGCTTGGTATAGTGGAGACACTCAGCAACGGTAGTTCCCTGCCTGACTGGAACCAAACTTAGAACCAAAGTCCTTGCGGGAGGCTGGGGAGAGTTCAAGTCTGGGGTTGTAGACCAGGCAATGGTTCACACCTGTAATCCCAGCACTTTGGGAGGCCAACTTGAGCCCAGGAGTTTGAGATCAACCTGGGCAACATAGACTCTTTCTCTACAAAAAATAGAAAAAATTAGCCAGGCATGGTGCACACGCTTGTGGTCACAATTCTCGGGAGGCTTAGGTGGGAGAATCGTTTGAGCCCAAGAGGTCGAGACTGCAGTGATCCGTGATCACGCCACTGCACTCTAGCTTGGGTGACAGAGCAAGACTCAAAAAAAAAAAAGTCTGGGGTTCTAGCCCAGCACCTCAACTCCTCCCCTTCTCCTTCTCCAGAGGTGACCAGTGAAACCTTCAACAAGGAGGCCTTCCTGGCCTCTCGGGGCCTCACTCGTGGCTACTGGACCCAGCTCAGTATGCTGATTCCCGGCCCTGGCTCCTCCAGGCACCCCCGAGGCCACCTGCCATCCCTCAGCCTTCGCGGTGGTGCGTGGGGTCTCTCTTCAGGCTTGGGCCCCTCGGCATAGAGGAAGGGACTGGGAAGAAGTTGTCTGGGTCCCAGATAATCCCTCCACGTACACACTGACCCCTACCAACAGCACCAGGGCCATTTCAGGCCTTTCCCAGCCCGCAATGGAATCACCCCTACCGACTCCACCCACAGGCCCCATCCCTACGCAAACCCCCATTCCTCTTACTAGGCTCTCTCAGGGAATACAGCTCCCTTGGAAGAAAGAAGGAGATGGGTCAGGTGGGGGTCTCCCTGACCCCAGGCTCCTCTTTCTTTCATCCTCTCAGGAGACCCCTACCAGCTTCTCCAGGGGGACGGGCCTGCCCTGATGCCTCCTGTGCCCCCAGATCCACCCCGGGCTCTTTTTGGTGAGCTGGAGGGGCCCTGTGGGAGCAAGGGGCAGGGCCAGGGACCGGAGAACCAGAGTCTGGGTGGCTGTGAAGAAGCGGCCTATTAGACTAGAGAAGGTGGAGCCCAGGGACAGGTCCTCTCGTAACCCCCTCCTCCCAGGCTCATGGCAGGATTACTACACATGGCGGGGCCTCAGCTTGGACTCCCCCACAGCTGTGCTTCTCACCTACCCACTGACCGTGTACTATGTCATCACTCACCTGGTGCCCCAGTCCTGTAAGGAGAGTGGAGTGGGGGGTGGGGGGAAGATGGGGGAGTGAGAATGGCCCACATCCCTAATGCACTGGCTTCTCACCCAGTCCCTGAGCTCAACATCCAAAACAAACAATCACTGAAGATCCATGTGGTGCAGGCCGGGAAGGAGTTTGACCTTGTCATGGTGTTTTGGGTAAGTCACCCCAGGCCCGAAGGTTGGGTATTTTGGTATGGGGGTGGGCACAGGGTAGAACCCAGATCTGTCCTTTCTGTCCTTCAGGAGCTCTTGGTCCTGCTCCCCCATGTGGCCCTGGAGCTACAGTTTGTAGGTGATGGCCTGCCCCCCGAAAGTGACCAGCAGCATTTTACCCTGCAGAGGGTGAGGGCTGAGGGGGCCCTGCTTTTCAGCCCTGACCCCTCCAGTGACCTCCTGGTTAGGCCCTGCCCTTCTGCCCCCACCACTTCCCATCTTGCCTGGTGCATCCTCCAGTTCCCTGACTTCCAGTGGCTTTTGCACCCCACTCCTGGCCCCTCAGGACGGCCCCGAGGTGTCTGTCCGTCCTGGTTCTGGCATATCAGCACGGCCCAGCTCTGGCACTAAGGAGAAGGGAGCCCGCAGGGACCTGCAGATCAAGGTGTCAGCAAGGCCCTACCATCTGCTCCAGGGGCCCAAGCCCGACCTGGTTATTGGTAAGAGCCTAGGTCTCGGGGTAGGCATGTGGGGAAGGTGGGAGAGAAGCCCACCATGGAAGCCAGCTTCTCCCTCCTCTCTGTCTGCAGGATTTAACTCCGGGTTTGGTCTCAAGGATACGTGGCTGAGCTCTCTGCCGCGGTTACAGGTGGGCAATGGGGGCAAAAGGAAACTTCTCTCCCCTCCTGCCTGGCCCCTCCCCATCTCCTTTTCTGAAAGTCTCTGGGCTCTCCTCTTCACCATCACCCGCTCCACAAACCTGGGGAGCGCCCACGGGTCCCCCTGCCTCTCTGTGTGTCTGTCTGTGTCCTTCCCCTGCTCCCCTCCACTCGGTCTGTCCCGGGGCTTTCAGCCCTGTCTGTCATTCTGGCTGCTGGGACGGATCTGGGGAGGGGCCTCTCAGAGCGAGTCTCGCTCCACCCCAGTCCCTCCGAGTGCCAGCCTTCTTCACCGAGAGCAGCGAGTACGGCTGTGTGATGGACGACCAGACCATGGCAGTGGCCACTGGAGGGGGCACCAGCCCTCCCCAGCCCAACCCCTTCCGCTCCCCCTTTCGCCTCAGAGCGGCCGACAACTGCATGCCCTGGTAAGGGCCTGCGACCCTATTTCCTTCCTGACCCTTCACTTCTCTTACTCTCTGGCTCCACATCCACAAAGACCCACCTCTGCTCTGGTCCCTGCTGTCCTGGGACCCTCCTGCCCCCAGCCCAACAACCTGCCTTCTCTGCCCCACTACTCGTCGCCCCCATGGGAGGTCTCGACATCCCCCAGCACACCCCTCTTTAGATGTAGCTCACGGAATCTCCGCAACCCACAAAAGACCCCGCGACCCTCCAACAGACCCAACCCTGAGTCTAGCCCCACGCCCTGGAACTCAGAGGGGCAAGCCCCGCCCCTGGAGCCCCGCCCCCTGGAGCCCCGCCCCCTGGTGTCTGACTGCGCCCCGCGCCCCCGCAGGTACTGCAATGCCTTCATCTTCCACCTGGTTTACAAGCCTGCGCAAGGGAGCGGGACCCGCCCGGCGCCCGGCCCCCCACCCCCGTCCCCAACTCCCTCCGCTCCTCCTGCCCTTACCCGAAGGCGCCGAGGAGAAAAGAAACCTGGGCGGGGGGCCCGCCGGCGGAGATGAATGCTGATACCATAGTAGACCCCCTCCCAAACACTGAAAGGAAAACGTGAAACACTCAAGGTCGAGGGGAAGGACAGGTTGGTAAAACACGAAAAGGTCAATAAAATTACTTGTTTGAAACCACTGAGTCATTGACCTCTTGATTACACGCTCATAATTGGGCCATTACACTGGGAAAGAGGAGAAAGTTTTTGTTTGTTTGTTTGTTTGTTTGTTTGTTTGTTGAGACGGAGTTTCCCTCTTGTCGCCCAGGCTGGAGTGTAGGGGATGCGATCTTGGCTCACTGCAACCTCTGCCTCCCAGGTTCAAGCGATTCTCCTGCCTCAGCCTCCGGCGCTGGGATTACATGCATGCGCCACCACACCCGGCTAATTTTTGTATTTTTAGGAGAGACAGGGTTTCACCATATTGGCCAGGCTGGTCTCGAACTCCTGACCTCTGGTGATCCGTCCGCATCGGAAAAGGAGTTAGGGATAACTTACTTTCCCCCAGCGCCTTTTAGTCCCCTCGACGGCTGTCATTTCTTTAACTCAGAGTCAGGGATTGTGACCCTCCTTGGTAATCCCATGGCTCTCCTAATTATGTATTGACCAGTCGCTTTCCAGCCCCGGTCACCCTCAGGGACCAGCACCAAGGCAAAGAAAGTCCAAGCAGCAGAAAGTGGCTTCTTCCTGGGGGCAGGGAAAGCAAACAACCTCCTGGGACCACGCAGACCCTTGGTTTGGATTCAGTGAAAGGCCCCAGCCACCCACCTCCACCTTTTCTCACCACCTCATATCCAATCATCAACTCCTGCTGAGCTGTTCTCCTGAAATCACTCAAGTCCATCAAGGTATGTCCATTCCCGCTGCAAACTCCACCATATCTCATCGCCACATTGCAGCCCAAAGTATTCCTCCTAAAAAAAAGACATCTGAGGGCGGGGCGCCATGGCTCACACCTGTAATCCCAACACTTTGGGAGGCCGAGGCAGGCAGATCACCTGAAGTCGGGAGTTTGAGACTAGCCTGGCTAACATGGAGAAAATCCCGTCTCTACTAAAAATACAAAATTAGTCGGGCGTGTTGGCACATGCCTGTAATCCCAGCTACTCAGGAAGCTGAGGCAGGCAGGAGAATCATTTGAACCTGGGAGGCGGAGATTGCGGTGAGCCAAGATCGTGCCATCGCACTCCAGCCTGGGTAACAAGAGCAAGACTCGTCTCAAAAAAAAAAAAAAAAAAAAAATTTTAACCGGGTGTGGTAGCACGTGCCTGTAATCCCAGCTACTCAGGTGGTGGAAGCAGGAGAATCACTTGAACCTGGGAGGTGGAGGTTGCAGCTGAGATCCACTGCACTCCAGCCTGGGCTACAGAGTGAGACTCTGTCTCCAAAAAAAAAAAAAAAAAGACATCTGACCTCATTTCTCCCTTGCTTCAGTCCCTTCAGTGACTTCCCTTAGCTCTTACAGTGTGGGCTGCCTTAATGATTTCAGTCACTAAGTATAGAAAGGGAAAGACAGAGGACAAATCCGGGAGATACCACCTTAACCAAGGGACTAAGGTGAACAATTAAGTCCTGTGGATGTTACTCTTAAGTCTCTTTCATTTCATAACATACCTCCTTGACTTTTATTTTTTATTTCATGACACTGATTTGGCAAGACACAGAATCATTCGTCGCGTAGAATGTTCCTCACTCTGGAGCTGGCTGATGACTTCCTCAGGGTGTTTTTAATGTGTTCACTTATCTTCTTCAGCGCCTGTCAACGGGTAGTTAGAAGATGGAGATGACAAGGCTCTGCTGACGTGGCCCCTGCCAGTCTCTGCAGGCTGATCTCATGCCATTTCCTTCCCCTGTCAACGCTGCAGCCAGATGCTTCTAAATAAGGATGAACTCTCTCACTGTGGAACTTCCCATGTGCTTTTTGTTTTGTTGTGTTTGTGAGACGGAGTTTCGCTCTTATTGCCCAGGCTGGAGTGCAGTGGTACAATCTTGGCTCACTGCAACCTCTGCCTCCCGGGTTCAAGTGATTCTCCTGCCTCAGCCTCCCCAGTAGCTGGGACTACAGGTGCCCGCCACCACGCCCAGCTAATTTTTTTTATATTTAGTAGAGATGGGGTTTCACCATCTTGGCCAGGCAGGTCTCGAACTCCTGACCTCAGGTAATCCACCTGCTTTGGCCTCCCAAAGTGCTGGGATTACAGGTATCAGCCACCGCTCCTGGCCAGAACTTCCCATGTTCTTGCTCAACTAATTCTTAGCCTAGGTGGCAGCCTAAATGTCACTTCCTTAGGAAAGGAAGAATTTCCTAACCCCCATATGAGGTTAGACACCCCTCTCCCTATTAAGCCCTTATAGCACCTTGCATAATCCCCTTTGATGACCTTTATCACACTTATAATTTCTTGTCTACCCTTTCAACTGTCAACCCAGAGGGGATGGGTGCTACCTGTATCCCCCAGGGTCTAGCCTGGCCAGGCATATGGCAGCATACAGTAGGAGCTCATTAACTGCTTATCAGATTGCTTTTCCCCCATACTTTCCACCCTCCCTCCTCATCTTTTCTCTCAGCTTCACCTCCTACAGCCGGAAAGAGGAAGTCTGGGTCTCTGGTGGACTGATGAAAAATAGAACTTTTCACCACTGCCTTGGCCAAAAAATAATCTTTTCGTAATTCCTGACATCTATTACACAACAATAGGAAAGGATGTGGTTATCTCCCAGCGGTGGGGTTAATAAGGATTTGTTTATTCGTTTTGTTTAACTGGACTACTCATTTTTCTTCCATGAACACAAGTACTTTTGTAATAAAAATGCTTAATATACAAATTGCTCTTTAATAATTCACTTACCAACTATTGATTGAATGCACAAGGCTTTGTGCCGAACCTTAGCAACGCAATGAGGGAAAAAGACATATATGGTCTCTGCCTCCATAAAGCTTACAGTTTAGGGCAGGGATCAGCAAACTACGGCTTCCAGCATTTACTTCCAGGATACAGTAAACAAAATGTAGCCCACTTTTTGTTTTTGCATGGCTCGTAAGCTAATAAGATTTCACCGCCGGGTGCGGTGGCTGACGCCTGTAATCCCAGCACTTTGGGAGGCCGAGGTAGGTGGATCATGAGGTCAGGAGATCGAGACCATCCTGGCTAACATGGTGAAACCCCGTCTCTACTAAAAATACAAAAATAAAAAATTAGCCAGGTGCAGTGGCAGGCGCCTGTAGTCCCAGCTACTCAGGAGGCTGAGGCGAGAGAATGGCATGAACCCGGCAGGCGGAGCTTGCAGTGAGCCGAGACTTCATCTCTACTTAAAAAAAAAAAAAAAAAATCTGAAAGTGTCTGGCTTAGAGGGAAGCCTGGAATAAACAGAGAAGTAACCAGAAAATAACGGTACAGTATAATTGGTGCAATAATGAGTTACAGACTCTTAGGGGTATATCAGAGGCACTTAAGACAGCCTCACAGCTGTCAGCGAAGGCTACCAGGAGGAAATGACATCCAACCAATGACCTGAAGGACACACAGGAGTTAGACAGGTAAAGAAGAGAAGAGCCACCGGGCGCGGTGGCTCACGCCTGTAATCCCAGCACTTTTCGAGGCTGAGGTGGGTGGATCTCGAGGTCAGGAGTTCAAGATCAGCTTGGCCAAGATGGTGAAACCCTGTCTCTACTAAAAACACAAAAGTTATCTGGCCTTGGTAGCAGACGCCTGTAATGCCGGCTACTCAGGAGGCTGAGGCAGAGAATGGCGTGAACCTGGGAGGCAGAGGTTGCAGTGAGCCAAGATTGCATCACTGCACTCCAGCCTGGGCGACAGAGCAAGACTCCATCTCAAAAAAAAAAAAAAAAAAAAAAGAAGTGTGGTGGGATGGGAAGGGCAGCATGGATCTGTTTGGGAAGCTAGTCTCAACCCCACCTCATGGACTGATGTCTGAGACCTACAAGAGGAACCACAGGCAGAGGCTGAAGGAGGAGTCTCTGTATAGAGCCTCTGGAAGGTCAGCAGGGCACAAACACCACAGCACAGCACCTGAATCCCTGGAATCAGTGTCACACGGGGAGGGGGATCCCCCGTTTCTCAGGGGACACAGTGTGGTTTTGAGAGGCATTGAGAATCCCAAGGAACCCCAAATTGTGGCTCTGTATGATTTCAATATTTTTTCTTTTTTCTTTTTCTTTTTTCTTTTTTTTTTTTTTTTTTTGAGACAGAGTTTCGCTCTAGTTGCCTAGGCTGGAGTGCAATGGTGCAATCTCAGCTCACTGCAACCTCCGCCTCCCAGGTTCAAGAGATTCTCGTGCCTCAGCCTCCCAAGTAACTGGGACTACAGGCACACACCACCACACCAGGCTAATTTCTGTATTTTTAGTAGAGATGGAGTTTCACCATGTTGTCCAGGCTGGTCTTGAACTCCTGACCTCAGAGGATCTGCTTGCCTCGGCCTCCCAAAGCAGGATTATGGGCGTGAGCCACTGCGCCCGGCCTCTCTCTCTGTTTGAGTCAGGGTCTCACTCTGTTGCGCAGGCTGCAGTGCAGTGATGTGGTCTTGGCTCACTGCAGCCCCAACCTCCCGGACTCAGGTGATTCTCCATCTCAGCCTCCCAAGTAGCTGGGACTACAAGTACACAACACCACACCCGGCTAATTTTTTGTATTTTTAGTAGAGACAGGGTTTTTGCTATGTTGCTCAGGCTGGTCTCAAACTCCTGGCCTCAAGCAATCCTCCTGCCTCAGCCTCCCAATGTGCTGTGATTGTAGGCACCAGCCTCCTCGCCCAGCTGGAACCATTCTCTCTTATACCAGGCATTGATGATTGGCCGTGCAAAGAATCAGAAACACTCTGTCAAGTTTTCTTTGAAATATATTAAGGTGTATATGTGCCACATTTTCTTAATTCAGTCTGTCACTGATGGACATTTGGGTTGATTCCAAGTCTTTGCTATTGTGAATAGTGCCACAATAAATACACGTGTGCATGTGTCTTTATAGCAGCATGATTTATAATCCTTTGGGTATATACCCAGTAATGGGATGGCTGGGTCATATGGTACTTCTAGTTCTAGATCCTTGAGGAATCGCCATACTGTTTTCCATAATGGTTGAACTAGTTTACAATCTCACCAACAGTGTAAAAGTG